GCCAATGTATTTTTAAATCGGCACACGCAGGCCCCTTATTGTTACCTATCCGGCACCCAGCCACCCCACCTCGCAGCTGGAGAGGACACATACAGGGCAGTAATGAGAGCGCACAAGCCGATCCACGGGAGGCAAGCTTTTTCTGAGGCCTGTCTGATGACTGTAACCATGGAAATATAGTGCGATAATGACACGCCGAAAAGCAACGCACTCCCCGGCTTTCTCAAGAGGGGAAAAAAATCTGACAAATCTTAGCTGAAGAGTTGGTGGCCACTCCAACTTCAAAGAGCGGTGAATGATGCTGGAAAGTACTGTATCAAACAGTGGAAAAGCGCAAGGAAACAAAGCTACAGTATGTGATAATAAAAGATTTCATGTATTGAAACTCCACAAATAGAGATGAGAAGGGCAGAAGGATTAGTTTTAGATGAATGACATAAACAAAGAAACAATACTGTCTAATGTTCTAAATGTTGAAATAGAAATCCAACGAACATTGTTTTTCAAAATAGTGAACAAGCAATAGTCTTTCTGAAGACCTCTTTTTCACTTTTCCACTCCAGGACTGAACAATGGGTATTACCGGTTTAGAGGTGTAATTGAATTCCTAAATATCAGCGCTGATGGATCCTTCTCTCAATACTGTTCACAGGTTATAGCAACTTTGCCTGAGTAATTTTTGTTTTGCTCAAAGAATATTATGCAAAAAACAGAGGCAATTTGAACTTTGCCATGTGGAAATTGCCCATAAAAAGCTGTTCAGTATGCAGATTGGAGGCTCGAGTGGAGATAATTATGAGCAGTGGTGAAAAGAATTGGTTAAAAAATTACAAAAGAGCCACTTCAATGAGGCTGCTTCATTGGTCCAGGTAAACATCAGGTTGGCACTGAGGACTAACAAGTGTTCTCCTTCACAGGCTCACACTGTCCCCAATTTCAACTACATCCATTTTCTTCCCCTTAATCCATTTCTGGGTCTGGGGGAGTGGGAATCAGCTGCCACCCAATTCACTGATCCTCCTGCAGGCGGCGAGTCCACAGGAGGACGGCTGCTCAGTCAGTGTCGGTACAGCTTTGATCTTTCATTGGGGGCTTCTGGCCAAGTGGGGTTAAGGGTCTTGGCCAAGGACACAACGACAGCGAACAGCGGCTTATGGAGGAAGGCTTCGGAATATTGTCCTGTATTTTTCATCCAAACTGCAAAAGTGTGGACTTACTTAATAACCCAAGATGTCTGTCAGGTTCAAGCATAGATTCTGTTGCTAAAAGACGCCATTTATCAGCATCAATATCTACTGTGAGCAAAGAAACAAATGGCAACGTGTTTGGTTGAGACATGTTGCCGGTTTCTAGAGGGACCATTTCACAAACATTTACTTCAAAAGTAGATAAAGTTACTTAGTTTTATGTACCAGTTTTATTAGATACTTGCCAAATTCACTTGTGTTCAAACATGAGTGAATGTTGACAATGCAAAAAGTTCATGAGTGTAGCCTAGATTAATGCAATGCAGTGAAATTAGCTTCTAATTTGAGACTCAGCTTGTTTTTGTCTGTGTTTTGACTGAATCTGCTGAGTTCTTGTGTGTCCAATAGTGTTTTTGTTTGTTTTTATTTTTTATTAGGCCCGAGTCCCAACCGGGGTAAGGGCCTATTGCTTTTCCAACGAGTAATGCCTGGGCGGAGCCCAGGCATTACTCGTTAAACTGTCATAAGTCACAATCTCCGGGCGCAGCCCGGAGATTGTGACCTGCACGCGACGGCACGTGCCCAGACACTGATAAATCCGTGCCGGAGGCACGGAATGGCTTTGTTCCTGCTGTAGTACACAGTGAAATGATTGAAGTCCTATTAAAGGGGGGTTCCTTCAACTGTCTTACGGACGAATGTCCGGGCTTCGCCCGGACATTCGTCCCCCAAGCCTGACGGCGCGTGCCCAGACACTGACAAAACAGTGCCGGAGGCACTGAATGGCTTTGCTCCTGCTGTAGTACACAGTGTAATCAATGGGGTCCTATGGGGGGGGATATAGAGTTTGAATTAGTCAAACGGTTTGCGCCTGACAGACTCCCAAAGGGTGGTTATTTTCATAGAGAGGTGTGAAGTTCCCATGTTATCCAATAGAGCAGTGTCTCCCAAAGTGGGGTGGAGGGTACTGCAGGGGGGCCGCGGGAGGTCATAAAAAAAATAAAAAAAATAATATAATTATTTAATGTTAAATTTATAATGTTTTGTTTGTAATATTAAAATATTTGTGTTCATTATTTGACTTGAAGAATCCACGGTAATCTTTTTTGTATTACAATGTTTGTAGCAGAGGCTATTTCCCCAAAATAAAATAACCAGAAGAGCCGATTCTTAATGTTGTCTTCTTGGTCATTATTTTGGGGGGCCACGCAGACCCGTCAGATTTTTAAGGGGGCCTCGGTGTTACTGAGTTTGGGAATGGCTGCAATAGAGACTGTATGGACACACTCACAGATTGTATGAACAAACAGGAGCACATTCACAAACTCTGATTTGCACTAAACTTGACTCGGTTGTTCAACTCCTGGGCCTAGGTCACATGACAGTGTCATTGGCCCTTTATCGCCCCCTACAGACTGAGTATAGGTTTACATGGGGATACAGTTATTTGGGTTTATTTGTTTGATCTCATATTTGACCCACTTTACAAACATGAAAACTCACCAAACTTTGCCACAAGTTTTTTTCAGGCATAGGGTGTATTATTTTGGTGTTCTTTGGTATAAGACTAAACAATTGAAATTGTAGGGGGCGCTGTTTTACAACATAAATGCCTTCCGTTTGCACATACAAAGTCCGATTTGCACACAATTTGAAATGACTGTTTAACTCTTGGGTTTGAGTAAACTGAAAGTGTGAATTATGAAATATCAGCATTAGCGCCCCCTACAGACTGATACAAGTGTTACATGGGGAAAATGAGGTATATCTTTTGAATAGAGAAACACAATCACTAATCATAGAAAGTAAAATTACACAGTGTCGCTCCCATCAGGGCAGTGGGAAAATGGCGCGTCAGCGCCATCTTGGTGCGTGGTGCGGCGAGGGCCGTTAGATGCCGCTTGCGGCTTTAATTTGTTTTTGTTGTTTTTTGTTTGTTTATTTACTTTATTTTTGTTTGTTTGTTTTTTCCCAGGATAGAGGATAAAATCCACTGATATTGATTTGATGATTATGAGTAATGCATACATTTTTTTTGGAATTTTTTCTTTTTTTTCTTTTTCCACTTTATTGATTGATCAAATTGAGTGATCACATGTGATTATGTGATCAAAGGGGAGGGTGTTAGTATTAGATAGCAATATGGCCTACGTGCAGGACTCTACAAGGACTCCATGTTTTGACTATGATTTGACTGTCTCTGTGTGACACGTATGTCTTTCGATGTGTGACGTGACAATGACTATATAAACTGTGTACTGCCTTTATTCTGTCTGGGAGAAGGAAACAAGGTAAACCACTGGAACTTGAGAGAAACTTAAATAAACTTCCAGAGTTTGGCGCACCACGATCCGTCTCTGTCTGCTTCATCCCTGACAGATTATTCCACAGCGTCTACATTCAATCAATCAATCAATCAAATTCATTTATAAAGCACAATTCATACAGTGTAACACAAAGTGCTTCACAAGCAATTAAAAACAAACAAAAACATAAAAACAGTGTATACATATAAAACATATTGTATTAAGAAGATGAAAGTTACGAACATTTAAAAAATAAATAGATGCTTCAGATTAGTCATAGGCATTCCTGAATAAGACAGTTTTCAGCCTGGACTTAAACATTGCAGGGTCGAGGCCTGTCTCACAAGCTCAGGGAGACCATTCCAAATTCTGGCCGCATAGACTTGAAACACTGCCTCCCCATGTTTAGTACTGACTCTGGGCACTAACATGAGTCCAGTCCCTGTGCTCCTCAGTGTCCGAGCCGGTTCATATGGTGCTAACATATCTCGAATATACTGTGGTGCGAGGCCATGTAGAGACTTGTACACAAGCAGAGCTGTTTTAAAGTCTATTCTCTGAGCCACAGGAAGCCAGTGCAGAGACTTGAGGACTGGACTAATATGGTCATGCTTCCTGGTTCTAGTCAGGACTCGAGCTGCTGCATTTTGGATGTACTGCAACTGTTTTACCGCTTGTTTGGACAGATCTGTGAGAAGGCCATTACAGTAGTCTAACCTACTAGAGACAAAAGCATGGATAAGTCTTTCTAAGTCAGGTTTAGACACAATACCTTTGATTCTGGAAATGTTTTTTAAATGAATTTATGTGTATTTATTTATGTGTCGCTGAAAATTCAACTCTGAGTCCAGAACTGCTACAATATCTCCAGAATTCATGTCAATGTTTTTGATCTTAGGTTATGAGACCTAATCTTGTCTTTTCTGTCTCCTAATTATTGTTATTACTATTATTAATAGTGTTATCCTTATTTAGTGTAATTACAGTACAGTCACAGCGTATGTGTGTGAGTGATTGAGGGTTTATGTGTGTGCATTTTTTATGGTTGCTTTTTTGTTTTGTTTGTATGATTTTCTTGTATTTTTGTTTTGTTTGCATCTGTTTTGCTATATCTGTCACTTTGTGAAATCTCGAGGCCCCCCCAAAAATGAGATGGTTAATCTCAAGGGGCTTATCCACAAAAATAAAGAAATAAAGAAATAAATCTTCCCCTGTAAAGAGCAGTTTGACGCGGCCACTGCTCCGGAAACAAGTAATAATAGCTTAGTGGTAAGACTGTAAGGACTTACCCAGCGTCGGTGAACCAAAGAACCATCCACTGCGTTCGTCAACAAAATCCTTTACGGCTCGTCTGTGAACTGTTAAGCGGAGGCTAGCCTAAAGTCCGAGAACGCTGAAGGAGCTAAGTTATGGGTTTCACGCGGGAAGAAAGCGAGAATGATCCCAAAAGGAGGAGGTTGACTGTACCAGGATAGGTGGGCAGTGCTAGGTACTGTCAACCTGTGTGTCAAAAGACAGACGTGGTGCCATTGTAGCTTCCATGGATGGTCACGCCCAAGGCGATTCCCCATAGTGAAACACCTACAGACAAGGCCAGCACATGCATTTGAGAGTGCAGTGAAATGAAATTAGAAATGTGTATTTTGGCACATACAGGCCACTCACAAGGGAGATACATCAAATATATTAAAAAAATTGACCTTTAAGAAAATCAAGGATGTAAAAAATGTCAAGATTGTGAAGTGGAGGTCAGGATAAAAGGCACAACATTGATAATACTTTAGATGTCAACAATGGTTGTTTATGATGGAAATTGAAAAGGAATTTGAATTTAAAATATTGAACCTTTTTCATTAAACACACCAAATTTGTGATTATACACCATATGGTATGGTGATTACTGTTCGAAAGTTGGAGCACTTAAGCAAAGTTACAAGATGCCTTTAAAAGCGTCACACGCTCCATCAAACCAGAGTGGTCAGACCAGTTTGGGAGCAACACTAAAGCCGTGTTCAGATCATGCGTTGCGTTGGCTTTCAATGCAAAGTCAATGGTGACGCGCGTTGGAGCGTCAAACGCACGAGCGTCTCGGAATGCATGCACGGACTGCATGGGGAAGTCAAAGGGGAGGAACGCAAGAGATGAATTTTGCTCAAACTTTCCTTGGGACGTTTGTGCAGCAACCAATCACGGGGACATTAGCAGTCTGAGCGAGCAGACTGAAAATACTCATAAACAGCCAAAACAGGAGCTACATCAGGACTAAACCAGGTTTGACAATGGGGGGACATAGTGCTTGCTTGTTAACATGTGAGTTTTCATGCTCCAGTTATTTTATGCAACTGCTTCGAGTGTATCCGCCAATGCGGAAGTACCGTTTAATAATAAAAATGCAAAGCTGCATTATTGGAGAAGATCTGTACACAAGAAGCCGCTAGCTAAACTCTGTGACCATCAGAGCACGCCGGCTACTTCCGGCACGCGCCAGGACTTCTGGTCTGAAGACCCCTGTGTCTGAAAACTAGAGAATGTGCGTTTCAGCGTTGGCGGTCTGAACACAGCTTAACACTTTTAGTTAGTTTAACACTTTTCTGCCTATTTTATGTATTCTTATGCTTTGTGAATGTTATCTGTAGTTTCTGGATGTAAAATAGTTTGGTGAAGTGGTATTAGTAGCAGCATTAGTAGTAGCAGTAGCTGTATTACTAGAAGCAGCAGTAGAAGTAGTAGCAGTACTGACCAGCGGCCTCCTGGTTTATTTCAAACTGCATGCCTTTGTAGAGTTCTCTAGAGATGAGTCCGTAGGCCACACTCATTACCACTCCAGGGATGAAGAAGAGGAGGAAAAGCAGGATCATGTACCTGTAGCACAGAGGCATCATGGGTCAATTATACATGTATACATCATACTCACTAAAAGGAGTTGAAAACATAGCTTTAGTATACATTCTAGGGGTGGAAAAAACGATTATTGATTAATCACAATTGTGTTATAGACAAGTATGGATCGATTATGACTTTTTCAAAAAAAGATTATTTTTGAAACTTTAGTTTTGAAAAAGTGTTATCCTCGGTCAACTTCAGTTGAACATCATGCGCGCACTGGGCCTAGTGCATGCAGCGGCCAGAGTGAGTGAGCGGTGCATGCGGCAGGGCGTTTTGCATAAAGTTCTCTTCCATGTATCCCGAGACCATCCAGAGACATCATATAACAGGAATATCTGCTCACAGAGCTGCGCAATGGATGTAATATGTTTTCAAACGGTACTTCTGTATCTGCAAACACAATAGCGGCACTTGTTTACAGTCATGAAGCTGAAGCAGATATTCAGACTGAAAGACCGAGTGCAAATTCCCCCTTCCAAGCCTGCAAATCACGCAGCTCTGCCAGCCCTGAGCCTCAGCCAATCACACAGCCTGGCCAGCCTCCTGCCAACCCTCTCACAGCAAAGCGGGCAGTTTAAAAGGCAGCCACTTCCTGACAAGCAACGCTTCCTGAGGCGCTTAAACACCCACCACCTCCCCAGCATCTCCTCTGGCTCCTGCTCTGGCTCTGGCTCCTGCTCCGCCTACGCCCCATTCACACCATACTCTAGCCACCACCAGTGCTTGACCCCGGGGGATCTGAGATCATCTTCAGCTGCAATCGATCTCATTGCTGCAAGTGTCACTGCTGGGGTCAATGCGCCAATTAAATAAATAATTTGATTGTAAAATATTATTATTATATTATTGTGTCTTTGGTCTCTTCAGATTGAAATGGAAGAATGACAACTCAGGCTGGAGGCATATGTTCACAAGTAACTTGTTACTCAATAAAAGAGTAAAGTTGAGTAATTCAGCAATTCAGTTTTTTAAAATGGTGCATTAACTTTGTGTATTTCGGGTTATTGTTGTCAAATGGAAAATCATAATTGTGCATCAAAAATAGCGATCAAAAATCGATTGGTAATCGCATCGGGACCTCAATAATTGCAATCGAATCGAATCGGGAAATCAGACAGATTAACCACCCCTAATACATTCAGTATAATTCCTGTTCAGTGTTGTGTATGAGGATTCTTACGACAGTGAGTGGTCTGTTTGTGCGCGTGAGTGAGTGTGAGTTCACATGTTTCTCACATATTTATGACGTCTTTTAAGCAGGTTTCTATGTTTAAACTGTCAAAATGTCCACAACATACTTGACAAACGCACGCACACATTGGTAGTATTTTATTAGTAGCAGGGGGCAGTAGCAGAACACACACACGTTGTAGTTGTAGTTAAGCAGTTGTAGTATGACAAGTGTGTCGTAGCACACACACTAGTAAATCCCATTCTCCATCAGACCACAACATTTTTTATTTACTATTGTATGTAAAAACTGAGCTGTCTTGTTTCAGGGCAGACAATTTTTTGACTCTTATTTATTTTATTCTTATTTGATAGGGACAAGTGCATACAACAAGTAAAACTCTACAACATTTATAGCTAAGAATAATTTGCAAGGTCTGTACCTAGAGTCTTCTTTCTTTATACAGTATATTCATAGTTGGTTTGTCCAACAAGATTTTATAAGGATTAAACGACTCTGAGCAGTGGGATTGGGTGGCTGTATATATGAAAAATATGTTCAAGGACAGGGACTACTTTGAGCTAAAAGACAGCAAAAGCTCTTTAGCAACCGTTGTCATGACCAAAAGGCAGACACAGAGGAGAAAAAGCTATTTATTGTACAGACTTTTTAATTCAAGTCAATAGGAGCCAGAGCAAGATGAAGCAAAACTTTGTCCTTGAGCACATCCCTATTGGGCATCATCAAGCTAGCACCAGTGACGTGCGGTCAGAAGAGGCAGGTGAGGCCCGGCCTCACCTAAGAGCATGGAAAGAGAAAAATAATAATATGAAATAATAATACTTGGTCACTATATCAAGTAACTTTACCTTCTTTCATTTATTTCTACCGTGAAATTGCAGATTTTTGTAATATTTTTCTCATATTTGACAGAGAGGCGAGCCTCACTTGAGAGACGTAAAATCAACAGCTCACAGTGGGAGAGGCCCATGAGGTGCTATCGAACAGTTTTCTCTGTTTACAAAGTTCAAACATATTTTCTTTACAATCAACATGTCTACAGCTGAGAGGATGGGTCATAAATTGTAATGTTGACAACAAATATGGGTCTTAATTGCGCACAACCACAGCTTGTAATGTCACCAAGTGAGGCCAACCTCAGGGTAGGGGGCGCTTGTGAGCCCAGATTTTGATTGCATCCGATTCCATCAAAAAGATCTGTTTGTGTTTTTCCTCTGCTAAGGGCAGCTACAGGTTTGGCTAACATACATATAACACATTTTAAGATGATTTAAAATCCACTTAATGTTATTCTTCCAATGACAATAGGAATGATTAAGAAGAGAGGTGAAGGGTAAGAAGGTTGATTTTAGAAATTGGATATACCCAAGAGTCCGCTACCGACAGCTAGCGAAAACGAGTATGGTCTATGGAGGAGACACCCGTTTTGTTTTACTTTTTAAAACTCATTGGACTTATTTTATGGCCAGACCATGTGAGGAATGCAGAGCTCCCCCAGCCAGATAAGAGTTGTTTGGAGAAGGAGATTGATGTCAGACCAGACCAAGACCAGACCAGACAAAGTCCAGAGTCCATGGGCTGGCTGGAGTACGCGCCTCCCAAAACCAGAAAAAGCTGGATCAGACTGGACCAGTCTGGGACCTGTGACGTCATCGGACCTTCTGATAGAAACTGCTGGGAGGAGATTTTCAGTCAGTCAACACAGGGCCGGCGAGGGACAGGCATAGTGTAGGAGCTTGTTGAATTTCTGTATCTGATTGTAAGGAAATTAAATACAGATGTTAAACTTGGATATCTTCGTCTGTTTTCTGTATCAAACTTTGAACACGTCAGTCAAATCTTTTTTGACAACATAACCTATTTCGATCTCAACTGGTCCGGACCAGAAACTTCTTTACAAAAATACCCAAAAACAGTACAAAGTCCAACATTTTGTGCACATAAACACATTTATTTAAAGCTTCCTTTAAAGCACTGTCTAATACTAACCAAGTTTTAACTGTCAATCTGTTACTAACTTAAATGTAACAGTGGGTTTTTCAATGTGCAAATAAAGTATTTACAATAGTACTTTCTAAATGGCATTTCACAATATTTATATTAATAATTGTGGGTTAGCTTTGAGTGCAGCTTTGTTTTATTAAGGCTCATTACAGGGAAAACCTGCCTCCAAAGGTACAGTAGGCAGCTTTAACACAGCACCTCATCCTAACCATCTTCAGTGTGGTAAGGTACATGGTTATGTTATTGTCACAGAGAAAGCATCAAACTAACCATGATCAGTGTTGGGCACGTTACTTTGAAAAAGTAATTAGTTATAGTTACTAGTTACTTCTCCCAAAAAGTAACTGAGTTACTAACTGAGTTACTCCACTATAAAAGTAACTAGTTACCAGTAAAAGTAACTATTGCGTTACTTTTTCATTTCTCTACCCCGTAACCCCCCCTGGCCCCCACCTTCTCAGAGCGCGTTTCAAAAGCCAGATGAATAGAGTGCAGGACAACAAAGACAAGTTTGCAAAGAGGTTTGCAACGTAAACGACAGCGGATGGACATACACTGCTCAAAACTCGACGTGCACATTTTTATCTTTAACGTCACTGAGTTTGAAATAGCGCCAATATTTCCATCTGGAAAAGGCTGAGTCCTCCTTACTCTCCATCTCTCTCTGTGTGCCGTAAGCACTAAACACCCGCCACTGTGAATGCGGAAAAACCCACCTACCCAATTTCTCTGATTGGCTGAAGACGTAATCTTACAGCCAATAATTGCTGAGAGGTTATTTCATCCTCTCTCATGACAACACGCCTACAAGTCCTATCATGAAGTTTATAAAAAAGTTAATTGTGCAACTTGAGTAACGGGGTGTCGGCAATGATAACGGTGCTATAGTGACGGTCAAAGTAATTAGTTAGATTTCTCGTTACTGAAAAAAGTAACAGCGTTAGTAACGTTTGTTTCTTCAGTTTATCTTCTGTCTTCTCAATTCTCAGCTCAAATTGCAGCATGTCTCGTAGTATAAGATGATATTCCTTCAGCTACTTGTTGCATGATACCAAGCAAAGGTATTTCATTCTCCTCCGCAAAAAAATAAGAAATGGTCAACTTTTTTCGAAAAACTCGACAGTTGATGTAATTTTTTTGCCTCTTTGACAGACACATTTTGCTGAGGGTGTTAGTCACAGAACACGCTCCGGTGGCAGCCACTTCAGTTGCACTCAGCTCCCTGCTTATTATTATAATTTTACATAAATTATCCGCGGACCGTATCAAATCCCTTGCCGGGCCGGATCTGGCCCGCGGGCCATATAATTGACACCCCTGCACTAGAGAAAGAGAGAGAGGGAGAGACTAGAGAGAGAGGAGACGAGAGAGAGAGACCAGAGAGTCAGGGTTTCAGGCGAGAAAGGCTCTTAAAACCTCAACCAAGTCCAGTTTAGCAATGGGCATAATCTGTTGTCAAAACTCCCAGAGCATAGAAATATGTTGCAGTAGTGATTACAGCAGTAAAAGCAGTAGATTTCTCTCCTACACAAGTAAAGAGCAGGACTGTGGCCTTTATCCAAAACGTGGCTCAAAATCCATATGGCGCCGATCACCAACTGTGCAAGTATTACCACAGAGAAAGGCTATGGAGGGCCGTGGCTGCCAAAACAATAAATATATACAGAAATAAATAAATAAAAAAGATAAAATTTTCAAAGAAATGCATGTAATTATGAGAATAAGTGCATTTATTTCTGTATTTATTTATTTCTGTATTTATTTATTTATATATTTATTT